AATATACAAAACCCGCATCGAGCTCCTACGATGCAACCATAAATTAAAAGGCAATGTAATGCATTTAGTAAGCGAATGCCCAATTTTTAAAGAACACAAAACATTATACTTTGTAAACCTTCACTCGACGTTCATGAAACCATGCAAATACTGAATGACCTCAACTGGACGTTGTTAACAGCCTTTATTAAAAATGTATTAAAATGCAAGCTAAAGATAATAAAAGAAGATTTCTAAATTGATTTATATGAAATTTGTAAGTCTTGTTAAAATAATTTAATTAAATATTTATATTGTACAATTAAATTTATTAGTAATAAACTAAACTTAGGGCGGAAATGCTATAGCTGTAAACTTTATATATATAATATAATATAGCATTGTTTCTATGTAATACAACAAATTTAAAATGAAGTAAAATAAAGTTAGAATACTAGTACTACTACTAATCAATAGTGAAATTGGTACAATAAGACTCTTCTGACCACAGTACCGAGTGTTAGACGATTTCACATAAAAAATAATAATAAATAAAATAAACAAATGTTCTTAAGAAGACTCTAAAAAGATTTTTTTAGCTATTTTGTGTATACATATACACTTATTAACTAAGAAAATTATCAATCCTCAAAGCAATTTACAATGAACATAAAGAAAATAAGTAATATTTTTTAAACATTTAAAAAAACAAATTCGCTGATATAAGTAAAAAGTGATATTTTTTACTAATCGAAATTTCGTGAGTTATGAGTTAAAACTTTAGAGGAAGCATATTTCTGTGTTTTTCAAGCAACACACGGGCGTATGAGTAACAATATTTAATATGAAAAAATTATATATTTATATTATATTTAAAAAGAATTAATAATAATAGCTGGTAATTAATTATCTTATTCATATTTTAAATTAATCAGCACTGACGCATAAAAAATTTCATTTCGAATATAGTAGCTAGCGAGTTAACGACTAACATTCAAAATGACAAACACGCAGATAGAAAGATATACCCACGTTGCTAAATCAGTTCGTCTTCTAATTCTGATTAATAGTAAAACTTCGTAAAGTGAAATTTAGGTGACTATCTGACGTTAAGATAACAAGTAACAATGATTTTAATAGCATCACTTTTAACACGTTAAAAACCGCATGCCTCACCGGTCGGTCATTCCGTAATAACATTACCGGCCCGCGTGCTCACGGGTGGACACACAACATGTTTTACCTGGGCACCGCTTGTACACCTGTTTGCATGATTTAAATTCAATTACAGTACAGTACTCCATTCGCCGGTTCCTCGGAAAGATACTGCATATAGCGGGCTTAGCTAATTTGCCATAACCTCATTTTAAAACGATTTTTTTTAATCAAATCAATATACGTTATTAACAATCAAAAAAAATGCCGGTTAGCAAGTATTTTAGTGATTCGACTTAGCCAAAATCAATTATTTGTTACTAGCTTTTTAAGTGACATATACGTTATGTTTGTTAAATATAACAATAAATACTCTGGATATCCGAAATCAATGGTTGCACTCGTTCACATTAAAAACTTCACAAAATCCGTTTTCAAAGATTGTTTATTGAACTTTAAAAATGGTACTGGCAACTTATAAATATCAAAATAAAACATAAACACTAGTTTATGTTGATGTTGCGAAAGGATTTTTCGAAATAAAGCAATAAATTAATAAGAACATAGTGAACTTTTTATTGTAATATGTTATAATGGATGAAACTTTAAATCATTAATGCACTCTAGAGTCAAAACATTAGTCAACTAAAGGGACAAAAATCGATAAAAGCAGTTGAACAATTAACTGTGCACAAATAATACAAATTGAGAAGAAAAAATCCACTATCACCAAAACAATGAACCATTTAAGAAGTCGATCATAATGCTAAAGTTGCATTTTAATTTGGATCTTCACCTACATGTTTTTCGTATAAGGCTCTGAATGAATACCAGCTGTTTGCAAACATCGCAAGAATGCAACAGTGCATAACATTTAGCGACACTACCTGCCTCAGCCATAGCGACGACCCATTCACAACCACAAAATTAGTTTAAGAATAAAAGTCAACTCAACGACGAGATACCTGCCCTGCTCTTAGTATTAATGAGAAAGTAATACCCCAAAATAATGGTCAATGGAAAAAGCACACAGAAGCCAAACTAAACCAATTAAAACTGAAACAATAATAACTAAACTGGCTGATTAACAAGAACTCTAAACTTAATGTCATCCATAAAGTGCAACTTTACAATACAACGATAAAACTTATATGGACCTACGAAATTGAACTCTAGAACTCTGCTTCTCCATCAAAAATTTTTTCGACAAATATTCGGTTCCCCCTAGTATATGAAACGCACGAATATTCAATTCACAGATGTAATTGCCAGGTAACGCACAAAAGTACACATTTAAACTCAGGAATCATCAAAACCCACTTCCAAGAAATCTCATCCAAAGCTCTGGAGCCTAGCAACTCAAAAGGAACTGTTTATACTCAGCTATTGAAAAACAACTCCCACATGGAAACGAAATTGAACGAAGCTTTGGCTAAGGACAATTAATTATCTATTTTTATTTAAATAATTTAAATAAAATATTTTATTTTATTTAAATAAAATAAATAATTTTAATAATTTTAAAAAATGCTTGTATAGGTATAAGAACATTTTTAATTAATAGTAAATAATATCAAATATTAGAAATTATGAAATATTATTTATAAAAGAAACAATATTTATTACATTTGTGAAATGTTTATATATAAATTTCAGATGTGTAATAAATACCTAAATATACTGCTACAGATCATTAATGCAACTTACCTGTATATAGACGTACATTGCAATTGGTGAATAGCGCGAAGACTCTGAATTTTTTTAAAAACTGATAAATATACACAATAAAAGACTGTTTTTATCCCAAAATTATAAAACTTAATTGAATTTAAACAAATTAGAATATTTTAGCTCCCTTGTAATTTTTTTTAAGTTATTTTCACTTCAAGGTATTTCTAAGCTAACGGAATAAAATTGAACACATGACTACATTAAATAAAATAAATTTTAATTTTACTTAATGAAATCTTACACACATGTCAACAAAAAAAAGTGATATGCAGTTATTTATTAGTAATAATTGATGCAATTATTTTAGTATAGTCGTTGCAAAATAAAAATACATTAAAACTTTCATTTAAATTTTATCTGAATTGTATGAATTTTATTTAAATTCAATATTTTTTTAAAGAAAACACTTATTATATTTTATTATTGAGAAAAATTACATAGTTTGTTTTTAAATTTTAATAAATCTTCAAAAATCCGTGAAGAGAAGTTAACTAAATAACGGGATATGCTTTCAATATGATGAATATCAACCCAGAGTTGTATTAATTGTTAGTTTATCGTTCGTTAAAATTTTTGAAACTCAAACACAATTTTGCATAGATTATTGAAATGACTACGGCGTTTACATTGTGTGATTAAAAGTAGATTAAAGTAAAAATCGAGATTAATCTAGCTTTGTTATTCTTAATTTAATCTCCTTTGGTCGATATTAATTTTAAATCTCCTTCAAAATGATGATTATTTCTCTGTGCAACTCTGAAAATGTCTTTTTTTAACGATCTTACAAGAAATATCTTAAGAGCGTAGATTTTTTTCGATCTTAAAGAGAAATATCCGAATTGAATGTAATTTCTATTAAATTTGTTTAATAATAGTTTTGTACATAATTACCATATAAAATTTGTTAAATTATTGTTATAAAACCATTTATTAAATATTTATAACAATTTTTTTATACAAAATTGTAATTAAATGCTTCATTTACAGAAATTTATCTAACACACGAACCAAAAAACAACAAGAGGAACGTCAAAATGAATCTTCAATATATAATGTAAACGGTGGGGATTAAAAATGCAAATTAACTAAATTCACAATGTAAACGTAGTACAACACTTTGTAATCATTTATTTAACGATTTTTAGAGATAAATTGATTTTGAAAACTGCTGAAATTGTTTAAATTCAAAATAGAGGAAGAAAACAAGTACTTTATATAAATACACGGTGAAACAGATTTTAATCCGCATTCAACTTTCAAAGTTTCTCAGTTAATTTTTTAAATAATAATAATGATTTTGTTTAAATACCCAAGTTGAAATGAATTCAATCATAAAGTGGTTATTGTAAATCACTGAAATTGTTTTGTACCTAACAATTTTACTAAATACTTAGCAAAATTCATTTATATAAATAAAGCAAATGTTTGATTCAAAATGTCCAATATGGAAAAACTAATTTTGTGAACTGTAATCCCGCATATAAATCAAATTTATTGCTGATCGTATTGTAATAACCACATATCAATACAATAAAAATTAAAGTTTTTGACAAAGTAAATTATATATTCTATTTGCAAATATTTCTGCATTTTACTTAAAAAAGCAAGAGAAGACGTGTTCTGCTGCAACCAAGTGTCTGCAAGAACAGTAATATTATGTTCAGACAGCCAAATTTCTTTAATTTATATAAATTTAACTAAGTTAATTTCGAAAGTGTTCATACTACCTTAAATTAAAGAAATCATATGTTTTTTATTTACAAATCGAATGTTAAAAATTACATGCTCCAAACATCATTAGTATTTGGGAAATTTTAAAAGTTGATTATTATAAATATAAATAATAGCATTTAATTGTTTATTAGCTGTAGTAGATTTCAGGTATGTGAATTATTATTTTTCACTCAATTTCAAATTAATAACAGTTACAGTTTTTTCTCTATATTCAAATTTAAAAATTTTAAGGTGTATTCAAATTGGATATATTTAACTACAAATTATGAATACTTATAGGTTTTTATTAAAAACCTATCTGTTGTACTATGTCTGATTGAAATAAAGTGAGCGTTGGCAACTCCCTAACGTTTACATACTTATCGATAACTTCTGAAGCAATATAAATATTGTCATACTTTCTGTCATTTGTTGTTTTGCTATCGGAAAATTTAGACAAAGTTGTTTTGCGTGAGACATGTAGTTTCTGAAAAAGTTTATAATATCTATGTAATAAAACATTGTTCATAATAGTAACAAAAGTTGAATTAAAGTTTTATAGTAAAAGTATTATAACGTTTGGTATATTTTATACCAAAGAGAAGAAAAACGATTTTGAGGTGGGGCTCCGGAAGCTCAGTATATTTTGGCGTAATCGATAAAGCATTACAAATAGTTTATACTAAAAAAAATATTTACTTTTAGCAAAAATGGCACGCCCAATATATGCCAATCAGCAAAAAATTGCTGAAAAATTAATTATATTAAATGATCGCGGTTTGGGTATTTTAACTCGTATTTATAATATAAAAAAAGCATGCGGTGATACCAAGTCTAAGCCAGGATTCCTATCGGACAAAGCATTGGAGTCATCAATTAAATTTATTGTTAAACGTTTTCCCAACATTGATGTAAAAGGATTAAATGCAATTGTTAATATAAAGTCCGAGATTATAAAATCACTATCATTGTATTATCATACATTTGTGGATTTGTTGGATTTTAAGGATAACGTTTGTGAGCTACTAACAACAATGGATGCTTGCCAAATACATTTGGATATAACGTTAAATTTTGAACTTACAAAAAATTATTTGGATTTAGTTGTCACGTATGTTTCTCTTATGATCGTATTGTCTCGTGTTGAAGATCGCAAAGCTGTTCTGGGATTATATAATGCTGCTTATGAGCAACAAAATAATCAAGCTGATGCTGGCTTTCCACGTCTAGGACAAATGATTTTAGATTATGAAGTCCCACTTAAAAAATTATCCGAAGAATTTATACCACATCAGCGACTTTTAACAAATGCGTTGCGTTCATTGACGACCATTTATCCTTTGCGAAATTTACCGGCCGATAAGTGGCGAGAAATGCAAAAATTAAGTCTCGTCGGTAATCCAGCAATTTTATTAAAAGCCGTACGTACCGACACAATGTCTTGTGAATATGTTTCGTTGGAAGCAATGGATCGTTGGATCATATTTGGTTTACTGCTAAATCATCAAATGTTGGCTCAGTATCCAGAAGTCAACAAGATATGGATATCAGCTTTAGAATCCAGTTGGGTAGTCGCACTTTTCCGCGATGAAGTACTACAAATTCATCAATATATACAAAATACTTTTGATGGCATAAAAGGCTACAGTAAGCGTATTGCTGAAGTAAAAGAAGCATATAGCACAGCCGTTCAAAAAGCTTCATTGATGCACAGAGAAAGAAGAAAGTTTTTACGTACTGCCCTTAAAGAACTGGCACTAATTATGACAGATCAGCCAGGTTTATTGGGTCCTAAAGCAATATTTATTTTTATTGGATTATGTTTGGCTCGGGATGAAATACTTTGGCTTCTTAGACACAATGATAATCCTCCAATGTTAAAGAATAAAGGTAATATTTAAAGAAGTTATGAAAGAAATTATATAGTTAATGACTTTCTACTTTTTAGGTAAAAGTAACGAAGACTTGGTTGATCGTCAATTACCTGAGCTACTATTTCACATGGAAGAGTTACGTGCACTTGTGCGCAAGTATAGCCAAGTTATGCAACGTTATTATGTGCAGTATTTATCAGGTTTTGATTCTACTGATCTTAACATCAGAATGCAAAGTTTACAAGTATGTCCGGAAGATGAGAGTATAATACTGTCTTCACTCTATAACACGGCGTCCAATTTAACAGTTAAACAAGTCGAAGACAATGAACTATTCGATTTTCGTGCTTTTCGACTTGATTGGTTCCGTTTACAAACTTATATGAGCGTTAGTAAAGCTGCATTGCGCATTAATGAGCATGTGGAGCTGGCCAGATTACTAGATTCGATGGTATTTCATACACGTGTGGTTGATAATTTAGATGAAATATTGGTTGAAACATCCGATTTAAGTATATTTTGCTTTTATAGTAAAATGTTTGACGATCAATTCCATATGTGCTTAGAGTTCCCAGCACAAAATCGTTTTATAATTGCTTTTCCATTAATATGCAGCCACTTTCAAAACTGCACACATGAAATGTGTCCAGAAGAACGTCATCATATACGTGAACGCTCATTAAGTGTGGTTAATATATTTCTAGAGGAAATGGCAAAGGAGGCCAAAAATATAATAACCACAATATGTGATGAGCAGTGCACAATGGCAGATGCATTATTGCCCAAACACTGTGCAAAAATATTATCTGTGCAATCATCTCGTAAGAAAAAAGACAAATCAAAAAAACAGTATGATGACATACGTAAACCAGGTGACGAGTCATATAGGAAAACACGTGAAGATCTCACCACAATGGATAAATTACATATGGCTTTGACAGAACTATGTTTTGCAATTAATTATTGTCCTACTGTTAATGTGTGGGAATTTGCATTTGCACCACGTGAGTATTTATGTCAAAATCTGGAGCATCGTTTCTCTCGAGATCTTGTGGGAATGGTAATGTTTAACCAGGAAACAATGGAAATAGCAAAACCAAGTGAACTACTCGCATCAGTAAGAGCATATATGAATGTGCTACAAACTGTAGAAAATTACGTACATATCGACATAACGAGAGTTTTTAATAATTGCTTATTGCAGCAAACCCAAGCATTAGACTCTCATGGTGAAAAAACAATTGCAGCACTCTATAATACTTGGTATGTTAGAACATTTAAGTATTAATTAAAACAATAAGTAATTTTTACATCTTTAGGTATAGCGAAGTCTTGTTACGACGTGTGTCAGCAGGGAATATTGTATTTTCGATAAGTCAAAAAGCGTTTGTGCCTATTTCACCCGAAGGTTGGGTACCTTTTAATCCTCAAGAATTTTCAGATTTAAATGAATTGCGCGCATTAGCAGAACTGGTAGGACCGTATGGTATTAAAACACTCAATGAGACCTTAATGTGGCATATCGCCAATCAAGTGCAAGAATTAAAGTCACTTGTTGGCACTAACAAAGATGTTCTCATTACATTACGCACAAGCTTTGATAAACCAGAAATAATGAAAGAACAGTTTAAACGTTTGCAAGATGTTGATCGTGTATTGCAGCGCATGACAATTATTGGTGTAATACTTTGTTTCCGTAATTTGGTACATGAAGCATTAGTTGATGTGTTAGAGAATCGAATACCATTTTTGCTTAGTTCTGTAAGAGATTTTCAAGAACATTTGCCGGGTGGTGACCAGATTCGCATAGCTTCAGAAATGGCATCATCAGCTGGTCTTATGTGCAAAGTAGATCCCACGCTTGCCAATACATTAAAATCGAAAAAGCCAGAATTTGATGAAAGTGAACATTTAACGTCATGCTTACTTATGGTTTTTGTTGCAGTTTCCATACCAAAATTAGCGCGTAATGAAAACTCCTTTTATCGTGCAACAATCGATGGACATTCAAATAATACACATTGCATGGCTGCAGCAATAAATAATATTTTCGGTGCATTATTTACCATATGTGGTCAGAACGATATGGAGGATCGCATGAAGGAATTTTTAGCTTTGGCTAGTTCATCATTATTGCGTTTAGGACAGGAATCTGATAAGGAGGCTACACGTAATCGTGAATCAATTTATTTACTGCTGGATGAAATAGTTAAACAGTCTCCTTTCTTAACTATGGACTTGCTTGAATCTTGCTTTCCTTACGTCTTGATACGTAATGCGTATCATGCTGTTTATAAACAGGAACAAATATTAGGTCTATAAGTGCATGCACAACAGTAATTTCGTATTGTAACTGAAATACAATTAATTTTAGAATAAGTATTTAAAAATATTACATTTTTATAAACAATATTTAATGGATAATCACTAATTACAAACATGTTTTATATTACAAATTAAAAATCTAAATTGTGTCAAACATAAACAAAATTTTTTTTAATTGATTTCTAGACATAAAATTTAAATTTAAAAGATTATGCACCTAAATTAATATAAATAACAAACAGTATGAAAAATAAAACTTAATATTAAATTGCTCATGTTTTGTTAAAATATGACTGATACACGATTCCCAAAGAAGACGTTGCGAATAATGTGAAATAACTCCACCAAGTTGCAAATCCAAGAAAGCCTTTATAAACTTCCGTACTAAAGACCTAAGTATTTGATAAAGAATGTTAAACTATTTCTATATGAATATATAATGAAAATATTACATTTTTCAAACTTGTTAAAGATGCTTGTAACGTTTGTGCAGATTCTAAAATATTAAAATTTTCTTCGACCACATCAATGTCTCCCAAACCACTGCCTTCTGCAACTGTTTCTATACTGCTGACAAGTGTTGATGCTTGCGAATCAAGATTGGCAACGCATTCATCTTGTAAAACAGTTTCGGTAAAGAGCCCAGTCCAACTAAAACCACCTAAGCTTTTGTACATCAAAGTGAGGTATAAACACAGTATAACCGGAGCAACAAATTGTAAAGTAACAACACAAAGATAGTAAAAAATAGATGAAATCTAAAAATGCAAATTAATTATGTTATCTACTCTAAATATATATACAAAAGCAAGAACCTTTGTTTGATATTCTTTATTTGTTATACGACCGGCCTCTTTACGTAAATCCTCCACCTTGTCATGTGCTATATTCAAGTAAGATTGTAAGTAGATGGGCATTAAAGCAAACCGTAGAATGACAACAATCAGTACAAGTAGTAGGCGAAGTGTTTCGAATACATGTGGTTTTAGTCTAAAAAAACATTAATGTAACTTTTTTATATTAAAAATTTTACACTCATTATGAATATAACTTACAATGGTGCATCCATACCCTCAAAAATCCGTACAGTTAAGTAATCTCTGCTAATTGGACGTATCCATAAAATTACTAATATAAAGGGTAGTATAAAGCTTATATTTAATATAATTTGCATTAGTTTATTGTTTCCGTAATATTTTAATGAATCCCAATGCATTTTAGCCATACGCAAACCAGGAAAAGTAAACAGGGATCCCAAAATGCCACAACCTAATGCTATGAAGAATTTAACAACTATTTTAGAAGCAGGTCCACTATAACAAAAAAAAATATGATAGCTACAATTTTAGAGTACATTGAGTTTAGCTTACGAAGATGGCAGTCCTTGTTCAGTTAGGAACTTTGAAGCGCTGTTATTAAAACTATTGTACGCATTCTCCAAGCCGGTCTCTAATATACTTTCATCAACTATAAGCACCATCATGGCTATTAATAAGTAAACAAGACACGCAACAATCACCATGGAACGTTCACCGATTGATTCCTCGCTGTGAAAATATAAAACCGTAAGTGCAGACAGCAGTTTTCTAAAAAATAAAGAAACATTTTGGTTATATAAACAAATATGTATTACTTTCAAATATTGGTTTCAATATATATATATAGATATATATAATTTTAATGCCTATAAAATGATAAAAATTTATATAGGTTTTCTATTGTTACTTGACTTAGGTCGTTTATTTAACACATAAAATAAATGTTCTTTTTTATAAAAATACTCTTATTAAATTGTGTTAAGTATTTAATTATATTTTCATTTTTATTCACTGTACAACGAAGATAGTCGAAATATTTGTATATTTTTGTACAAAAAATAAAATATAATTAAATTTAATAAGTATAATTTCTTATTTTAAAAAACATTTATAATTTTATGTGTTAAATAAACGACCTAAGCCCAGTAACAATAAGAAAACTAATTGAATATTGGAGGTAATAACAACTTATTTTTTAAAATTTGTTTATATAAAATTTAATTTATTATTAAGAAATATATAAACAAAAATATTATATATAAATCTATACTTATTCATAAGGAATATAATTATATATATATTAATTTATACATGTATTTAAAAAAAAATTATTATATAAGACATATAATCACATTATTTTATGATGGGTTAATAATACTTTAATTTTAAAATACACTAACAAAATGGTAAAAAAATTCACAAATATATTGAAAGTATGCAAATTATGTTTAAATATAAAGTTCACACTTACATTGCGAAAAAAATGACTAGCAAACACCACACCATGCTTAAGTTGACTTCATTTTTAAGCGGGAAGTAAAAATGGTACACCTATTAATGGACACATTTTTATTATATAACCGATTCTATAAAAAAATGCATTTTACTTACTTCTGAAATAACATAAACTAGACCAGCATAAATACTGAAATCCACTAGCCACTGGTATTCAGTAAAATAACGTAAATGAACAACATCTCGTTCTATAACGGGTATCAGCCCCAAATCGACATCAAT